TTTCTGCAATCAGAGCAAAATACCAAAATGTGCATAGAAGTGTTTTGTATACTATCTCCCAGAAAGAGTACACAATATTCAATAAATTAATTCCTTGGCCACTGACTTTCCTGCACCATCAATATTGCCTACATGCTTGATCATTCCTACCAACACACAGATATCTTAACTGTCTTCTGATTTTTAAGCAAAGATATGTAACCTTATTTAGACATCCTCCCCGTCAGCTCCTGCTCATGTCTGCTTCCCTTCACAGCATAACTTCTGCCAAGTGTGGGTACCTAAGCTGCCACCACTTGGAGACTTGTCTTCCATTCCTCCACCCACATCAGTCTAGATTCTTGCCCCACCCTCCCATGGCAACTGCCCTTGTCCTTTCTTCTGTGACCATTAGTCACCATGATCTTTGCTGCCATCTCCAAAACATGCAGTTCTGTCATTATTACACTGGAGGTCTTTGCAATGTTTGCCATGGCTGACTACTTTCTTGTAGGTCCCAATGATCTTATATTGGAGTCAACGAAACCATTTTGTTCTGATTTCCCTTTTTCTTCTTATGCCAGCTCTTTTTTCTCTCCTCTGAATGCTTGTTGTACTGTTGTTGGCTATTCAAAAAAAGTTTTTCCAAGGCTCAGTTTTAGGCATTGTCTTCTTTTTACTCTACACTTTTTTCTTAGGAGATACTATCTTCAACCATTCTTCACATCTACGCATGTACTCACAGATTTTTGTGTCCACCCTGACTCTTCCTTTGAATTCTCCAACTATCAAATATAGCATCATTTTTGTGACCTTGTTCTCCCACCCCTTTCCCTCACATCCAAGCCAGCACAATATCCAGCCTCATAACTCCTTCACCCCTTTGGAAGCCATTCTCCTTTCCCACATTATCTGTCACCACCTGCCCAAGCTGACATCTTTTCTTGGAGAACTACCACACCAGCCTCCTAGTTGGTCTCATATCAATCCTTGGCCCTTCTAATACATTCTTGTCTTCAAAAGAATCCCCAAAATCTGATCATTTCACCCGCATGAGCATTCTTCAGGGAGATTTGGAATGTGAAGCTTTGTTACCAGGCCCACAAATCTGTGTGGTTCCCTGTCTCGTCTCTCACTATTCTCTCAGCTCCCTACACTGAGTATATGGCAATCCCCTCTATAAATCACTTCTGTGCATCTTTGTGCATTGTTTCTCTGTCTAACATTCCCTTTGTGATTCTCTTTATACAACCGAGTTCTTCTCATTCCTGTATTAGTTTCAATGTCATCACCTTAAACAGGTCTTCCTTGACCATCCTATCAAAATGGGCCCTCCATTTCTGCTTTCCCTATCACTCAACTGAGCATACTTTATCATTACTATGTGTTTGTTTATATGCCTCTTTTCTTTCTTCTGCAGGAGGTATTTAGATCATGTGGGGAACCTGTAAGTTTTACTTATGAGTACTTAAACAAATCAAATACATAGAAGGTGCTCTGTAAACATTGACTAACTGAAGGCATGCATAAGAAATTAACACATACATATAAAGTCATTTCCTTTTATCATTCCATTATTTTATGGTTCAAGTGTTTGCCTTTATATGGTTTCTTTCGGGTCTTCTTGTAACTAAGAGTCCTTATGTTGACTCTGACAAACCAATGATAGTAGTGGCGGGAGAGGACTGAGTTGAAGAAGAGATTTCTTTGGGAGAATGAATTTGTTTTCCTCCTTCATGCAATTTCTACCCTCCAGTTTTCATTTTGCAGCACTTGGGTTATGTAATTTAAAAATTTCAGCAACTGGCAAGGTAGGTGATATTTCTGAGAAAATTGAGGATCACTAGTATTAAGTTACTGAACAAAGGTCTACAAAACAAAAGTTTCACATCTACAGTTAAGAATGTGAATACTTATTACTTTCTTTCCACTTTACCACACTGCTTCTTGCTATAGATAAAGCAGGAATTCCACCTACAATAAATATATTACAGAAAGAGCAGAAAGTCACCTAAGTAGGACAAGTTACTGCCACAATAGAAAGTCCTGGCATAAAAGCTTGGCTCTTACAAAATGGTCCTGTGATAAGGGTTATTCAGAGAGACAAAACTAATAGTATGTATAGAAATATACATATGCAGATATATAAATGTAAATAAAGGAGATGGGATTTATTAGGGAAGTTGGCTCACACAGTTATGGATATGAGAAGTCCTACGACAGGTTGCTTGCAGCTGGAGGGACTAGGATGTGGACAGCATGGTTCTGTCTAAATCAGAAGACCTTGGAACCAGAAACACTAATGGTGCAGCTCTTAGTCCAAAGCCAAAGGCCTGAGAACCCTAGGAGGCCATTGAGATAAGTCTTAAGGTCCAAAAGCTGGAAAGCCTGGAGTCCTAATGTCAGAGGATAGTAGAAGAGTGTGTCCCTGTTTCAGGAAAAAGAGATCAATTCACCATTTCTCTGTTTCTGCAGTGTCTGGGCCCCCATATTGTTGTTTTCCTATGTTGAGGACATATCTTCCCCACTTAGTCCACCCAGACTCACACCAATCTCCTCTGGAAACACCCTCAAAGATGCTCTGCCTATCCTATAGGTAGCCTTTAATTCAGTCATGTCATTATCTACAATTAACCATCACAGATTCTGAATAAATGCCCTGATTTGTGTGGCCCAGGATTGATTTTTTGAATCATATAATATTATTCCTCAGTTGGAAGTTCTTTCATTAGCATTACATAGGTAACCTGAAGAACATAGGATGATTAAGTGAACAACATATTAAGGCATCTTTCAAAATTTTTCCACTAAATTACATTCCATTGTTTCCAAATATATTCTTATTCTTTCTATAGGGTTATTTTTTTAATAGGTATTAAGGAAAATATTACTTTCTGTGATATTTTATAAAAACCTTTTTTTTTTTTTTTTGGTGGGACTGGGGTTTGAACTCAGGGCTTTGTGCTCTGCAAAGCAGGCACTTTACCATTTGAGCTACACCTCCAGTCCTATAAAAACCTTTTTTAATAACAGCATTTTAAATCTTTACATTCACCCGACCCTAACTGCATTAGTTTTGTTTTTCTATGTTTACATGTGATAAAGTGCTTACCTAGCATTCATGGGGCCCTGAGTTCAATCTCCAGCCTGAAAAAACAAAACAAGATTCACACTGCAAACCATAAATATATAAAGTTTTTATCCATAAATTTAAAAAATATAGATTCCTGAGTTTATTCCTTATTGACTGTGATTCAGCAACTTTATAAATGTGCCCCAAAAGATCTGTCTGTAGAAAAGTTTCCAAGACAAATAGTCAGGTTTGATTGGAGATCAGGTTAGTTTGGAGTGGAGATTTGTGAATGTTAAGAACCTGGGCTCCAATTCTAGGTCTCCCACTAGCTGGTGAGGCAACTTACCTTGACTGAGTTGTAAGTTACCTTGTCACTGTGCTTTGGTGCTTTTGTCTCTAAGATGGAGTTGATAATAATACCTCATATGGTTGTGCTGAGGATTAAATAAGCATATGTGATATTCTTGGAATAATTCTTGACATAGAATAACAATTGAATTCTGATTTGTGACTATTAGGTATTTTCTTTTATAATTAATTTACTTTTTTAATTAGCATGCAACAAATATACAAAAACAAAGGTTTAATGGATAGCTAACAAGTAATAAAACTTTTCAGGGAACTGAGCGATACTCTGTCTATACTCTTCTAGCTAAAGAAAAGCATTTTCTAAAAAAAAAAAAAAATCTGTACAAGTTTACCTAAGGACGAGTAAGACAGTTGAACATAAAATTGAGCTGCAATCTATAATTACTATTAAATAGGTAATTACTTTTGATCTTTGCAATATATACAAGTACTAACAATTATAGATGTCTACCCAGAAATGACTGAAGGAACGTTTGAAATATGAGGTGTATTTTATTAGCTATAAATGTATTTTACTTTAATAAAACTTGCCCACTTACTTGACATTTATCAAACTCATTTAATAACTTCTACATTTGTTCCTTTCAAAGGTAGTATTTTAATTTAATTACTACCAGGTACTTTATTTAAATCACTAAAAATCATATCCCTCATAGAATGATGATAACCAATGTATAAAGTTGTCTGCATCAGCAGTTTTTATTTATTATACTAATTCCTAAAATATAGTTTGTACTAAAGCTTTCTGAAAAATTACCATAACTAAATGACTTTTTAATTTCCTAAAGTTCTCATTTGGATTAGAATGAAGTTAGAACAAGTTCTTAGAGTATAAAACTGCAAGCTTATTTTAAATCACATATTATGGTATCTGAATTAAGTTCACAACTATGTCGGCATATTTCAACAATTTCTGTGAGAGTTCAAGGAATACTCAGAGACTCTTCTCCTTAGCTTTATTTACCAATTGGGTATTATATTTGGTTGAATTGTGGCCCTCAAATATATCTATCATGACCTATAAATGTGGGATAATGGTTCTTGTAGATATAATTGAGGTAAGAATCTCAAGATGAAATCATTCTGAAATAGGGTAGGTCCTAAATCCAATCCTGTTTCACATAAAGACACAGAGGGAAGAAGACTATTTGAAGATAGAGGCAGAGATTGGAGTTACACTGACATAGCCAAGAAACTACAGAAGATACTGGAAACTAGAAGCAAGGAAAAAATTCTTCCCTTGAGTTTTTGTAGGGAGAATAGGTTTGCTCACACTTTGATTTCAGACTTCTGACTTCTGAAACTGTAAAAGAAGAAATTTCTGCTGCTAAGCCACAAATTTTGTGGTAATTTGTTGCAGCAGCCCTAAGAACTTATACAGGAATACATTTTGATACTAATGATAGGCTCTGGATTCTTTTAAATGGTCTGTAGCTGTTGTATTTATAGATAAGAGTTTTTCTTTAAGTGTATTAAGATGGAACATTTATCACTAAAAACAACAACAAAACAACTTACATCCTATTATTCCATTTATTCTCATAAAGTTAATCTTTGTGCTTTATTTTGCCTACTGTAGATGTGGCTGGTGGTTATTCATATTCAATGCTTGATGCAATCAGAAGAGCAGTGATGGTTTCCAATATCCTTTTAATTAATAAGGTAAATGAGAAAAGCCTCACCATCAAAGAAGTCTTCAGACTAGCCACTCTTGGAGGAAGCCAAGGTAATGACTATTTTATTTCACAAGTACAACCATGCCAATCTGTGTCCTTGGACTCAGATTGAATGGTACTGGATTTGGGGCAATACCACATTAATGACTGTCACATAACATGCCCAAAACTTAGCCAGCAAAGCATATCTTAAGTTATGTGGTGGAGAAATCATTCTTTAAATTGATTCACTGTTTTTGGCAGAATAGATGTTTGATCACAATGATATTAATTAATGGGTATTTGTATTAGTCTAATGCATTCTATTTTTCCATTAAGTAAGGCATTTACTCTTTATTGGTCTGGGGTATAAGCCTAATAGTAAAAGAGGCAGCCAAGATTTACTGAGCCCTTGCCATGTGATAAGGTACTATGCAATGCACTTTATGTGTCATGTTGCTATTGAATCCTCACAATCACTGTTATTACTTCCATTTCACAAAGAAGGAAACAGTGACATTTACATGACTGTCAAGCTATAATGTGCCATAATTTGAATCCAGAAAGTGTAATGCTAGAGTGTATATTCCTACCTTCTGTCCCCACTATGATAACTACCTTGGCTACAAATCCTTGGCTAGTCCATGTGTTTGGTTTATATATTTGTGTATGCTAATTACTCAAGTAATTTAGAATGATCTAAAAATGCAATTGGTTGACATGCAACTATTTTTTATCAGCTTTCCTCAGTTCTCAAGCATAACTGCATTTTTAAGGAAAAATGAAAATTATAATAGCATTGCTTTATTTTAGAGATATAGTATAATATGAATGAATGATAGTACAAAAGCATAAAACCATAGGTTGGCAAGTGAGAAATTAAACTATACAGACACAGATAAGCAGATGTAGATTTATGGTAGATACTCTGAATCTTAGAAATGGAGGATGATCAAGGCCAGGAGTATCCTGTTAACAACTTCTCAGATCTTCTTTGAATGTTCTGGCTTACAACAAGCACCATAAAAAGAAGTAATGGTTATATTCTTTGCATTACCCTAAGCCTTATGGTATCATTTTCCATAATTTCAAGTTTCAAGTCACCCATTCTTTTAATTGTGACCCCCCCCACTTACCAACACCACCATTGTATTTGCACATCTGAGTTTGGTTTGAGTTGTTCTGCCATCTATTTGCATGGTTCAAACAAGTTGAATTTAAATAGTGCTTTTTTTATTCTAGGCTCTCTGTGATTTGCTCCACCAGGATCCTGTTTCTGATCAAGCTGCCATGGGATGCCAACCAAATCATTTCTACCTTGCAGTGTAGCTTGGAAATCTCTATTTCTAGGTCATCGGGCTTACTCTTAGGGAATTTCTTCTTTTTAGCTTCTATCTCTACCATGGTAGTCTGAGTGATAGGAAATGAATGAATTCCTCGTTAAAATGTGGCATTTTCCCAGCTCTGCCATAGCTTTGCACTCACTCTCAAGATCAAGATATGCATAAACCATCTTTGGAGTTTTGCTCCAAAGGCAACAAAACTACATTTCCTGAAACGCATTTGAGTTGCTTAACAGCCCATCTGAGTCCATCTGCAATAATCTGAATTTATATTGATTTATAAATTCATTGAAGGAAATTGTGTCTTTTTCAGTTTCGTTCATTCCTGAACTCTTTGGGATCTCATGAAGAGCCTATTTAGTTAAAATACATCATCAAACTTGCCTGGACTCTGGAAATGTACCTCATTATCAGGCCTATTCAGCACATAACAATTTTATGTTGAATGTAGCCATTAAAACCTCAGACTTATCATGCTTCTTTGTCAGGGCAAAGAAGAAATAGAGTGTAATCAGTGGAGGAAAAAAAATTCTAGTGCTTTTCTATCACATGCAGTCCTTCCCCCACAATTAGGAGATCACCTAACTGCTTTTTAACATTTCTAATTATTTTCACACCCCTCTCTTGCTATGAGAATTCTTTAGATAAAAATTCTTCTTTTCTGAGAATAAAAGAATTGCCCTTCAAATAATCTTTTAAGAGCAAGCAAGATTTCTAAGTCAGTGCTTTGAGAATTGCCAAGTCATCTGGATACCTATGCATAGAAATATAATGTATCAGATATTACCCAGCAGGGAAAAATCAATTCAGTATTTTCACATTTGACAATATCCTGACAGTGATAGAATGCACCAAACACATGTAAAAAATTGAAATAAATAATGCTGCACCTGAGCTAACCTTACTTTTTATGACTTCATTGTGCACTTTGCTCAGGTTGCAGGCTTTATGAAGATTCAGATCCAATAGCTTCCATCTTCTAATCATAAAAATGAGAGATGTTCTTCCTGATCATCAATAATCATGGGACATAAATTATAGCTGTGAGATGGACCAAATCAATAGACATTACTGACCTATTCCCTATTTTAGAAAACCAATCTTTTTAGGCAATTAGACAATCTTTCAGGTTACAAAGGGAGTAGTCTGCTTTCAGAATCACAGGAACTCTTGAGTTATGAGGACCTGCTCACTTTGAGAAGTGAGTTTTTTTTTTCCTATTCAAAAGAATTTAAACTAAAGAATTCATGATGTATATGCCTGATTTGGCAAATATGCAAATAGATGATTATTTTTTATTTATTTGAGGTTCATTTCACTGCCATGAAAATAAATCTTGTCAGCTATTTCATGAAACAAAAAGGCAAGGCAAGGAGTTGGAGTCTTGAGGGGAGAAGAAGGGAGATAAAGGAAATAGGTATTATGTCAAGTATGCTTCTTAGAATGGTAAGTGCATAGACCAGCTGGCTATGAAGTGCACTGATAGAGTTGAAAGAGAGATACCATCAGAATTAACGATCATGGTGAAGGGAATTGTTTTTATTCTCAGATTTTCTTTCCTTTGCTTATTCTACTTTCTGTAAGTAGAAGTCTCGTGACCTATTGGAATGAGAGCACTTTTCTGCCTCACTATTAAGATACTAATCTTTCTTCTAGTTATATGTTGGCAGATTCTGTCCTTGCAAGCCAGGACATTCACATGGTTGGGTGGCTTGCAATGCTGACTGTGTCTTCACTTGTTCCCCTCTGTAGCCCTGGGGCTGGATAGTGAGATTGGAAACTTTGAAGTGGGCAAGGAATTTGATGCCCTTCTGATCAACCCCAAAGCATCTGACTCTCCCATTGACCTATTTTATGGCGATTTTGTTGGTGATATTTCTGAGGTACGTAAAGATAGTGAATCAAAAGGCATTTATTTCATGAAGAAGCCACAATCACTTCCTTGTAGAAAACAGAAACTGAAAAATTGTTTTGGAATGCAGCTAAAGCAAAAAGTAGTCACGTTATTTGTTAGCACGTAACTTTAAGATGGTTATGTGTCTTTTTTTTTTGCATTATTTATGCTTAATGATATACTACGACGTTAAAATTCAATATCTAGTCCAATAGCGGAAGGGACTTGGATTACGATGTCAGGTTCTTAACGCTCACCCACGCTGGCGACCCACCGGCGTTTAGAGCCTCGGACCTTACACGACCGAACGATTTCTAGAGGTAAGCAGGTGTAGCAGAAGACCGGCTCTACAAGTATGCACGCTCCCCTCCTCTTCTCCCCCCCTCAATACCCAGCAGAATACAGCAAAATCTTAAAGAGCAGCTTAGACCCCTTTGATCATTATTACCATTTTATGACAGCAATATTAAGAATAATTGTATTAATAAAATATTATATTTTGAATGTTTGTGTATTTGGGTATGTTTGTCTATAAGCAGCCATAATATAGGTGGCTCCTATTGAATACTTGCTATGTGCTAGGTAGGTATGGAATTAAGCACTTTCTTTCATGCTTTGCTTAATAGTCAGAACAAGTCCCAGAGAGATAAAATCACTAATTAATATTGCGTATGTTACAAGGCAGTGGGCTTTACGGAGAACTCATAGTTATCACATGGTTGAGGAACATGGCTTAGGGAGATGAAGTGGTAATTAGAGTTTGGATTCAAACCCAGGACTTTCTGACCACCAGAGGCTTGGCTCTTGATCACAATGATTTTGTTAATTTATAAGAAAATGAGTTTTGTTCTTCTTATTATAAAATCTCTTTCAAGACAGGTATAGTGGTACACATCTGTAATACAAACTAGCACTAGGGAGGCTGAGGCAGGAGGATAGTGAGATCTGGTCTAGACTAGCTTATGCTATATAAAGAGATACTGTCTCAAAACTAACTAACTAACTAATTAAATAAATAAATAAAACTTTTTCCTATGAATAAAATAAACTAAGACATGATTGATTATGATAGTTTTTTAAAAGAATTATCACCATTTATAAATTGATTCACTTATGAGAGTAAATGTTATAATAAATATGTCATATTGAGGTTTTAAAAGAAAAATGCTAGGTTATTTGAAGTTTGTGCCATTTATTATTGTAGGGGAGGAAAAAATACTTTCCCTCTATGATCTTGGGTTCAGGGCTAAGAAAAAGTATACAGATTTACTTAGTCTAAGTTTTATGTGCCACAAGAGCCTTCCTAAAGAAACAAAGACCCCAAAGTGGGCAAACCTAAATAGTTTTATAATAGGTTTGATGAAGAATGTGGTAGAGAAATGTGATAGAGAAAAGAGTATTATTTTATGATACCAAACTGGAGGTTACTTAGCAACACAATAATGTTCAGTCTTCTCTATAACCCTTTGTCTTCATTCAGAGATAAGGATGCTCCTTTCCTCTGAGTGTAGTGAGGGCACCCTTTGGAGGAAAGTCTTATGGTCTGCTCAGGGGAAAATCAGAAAATCCTAGGTTTTATGATGTGCTTCAGACTACAAAGGTGAGAAGAGGGTTAGAATTACCTTCCTGGCTTTGATTTTGGGGTAATTTCATACTCTTATTCTTTTACTCATTTATTAGAATGAATTTCCGATAATAGAACTTAATACCATTCATCTAGTCATTTTTATTATATCATACACCTCTTGAAATATTTGGATTCTTTAATTTACATAATACTTTTCCTCTGAAGAGTTCAAGGTTGAATACCAATGAGTAAATATTTGTTAATGGCTAATGGGTTGTATTTCTAATTTGTTTGCTTTTGATTCTTTTTTTCGTTTTGAAAAGACCATTTCTTTTTAATTAACAGACATAGGTTTTGTCACAGAGAAATAAATTTCAATTTCTGGATTTTGCCACTCACTGTTTCCTTTTCTAAATGCATAAAATGTTATTTCTTATTACTTTTGTTTTCCATTTTAGGCTGTTATCCAGAAATTCCTCTATCTAGGTAGGTAGACCTGTGTCTCTGTGTTAAATAAAATCTTTGTCTTTTTCTTGGTCATGGCTCTCTGTATGTTTGTATTGTATATTAAACTCTATGTGTATTAATTTGCTTGGATTTTAACAGTCCTCACCATCAGGCCTGTTTATGGCACAATATTTAAAGGTAGTATTTGAAATGTATTTACTTCAAGAAGAGTCATAAATCCCAAGCTGAGAAATGAAAGGCCAAAGGAGAAGAGAGCTTCTCCAATTCTCTTACACTCATTCTGTACCCCAGCCTGCCCTACCCTGTGTATGTATGATAAATAGATAGTAGGCTCACCACATGTGTTTCCAGCATACTCCCATTCAATCTACTCCCTAACAAAGAGAAGCAATAAATAGTGCAGGAGATTCCACTCAGCCTCTCCTTCCATTGAGTGAGCTTGGTGCTGAGTGAATGTGAGATGGGAGAAACACATGTGTTATTTCCTGTAGAGCTCAGGTTTTGCAAACTGTTCATCTCAACATTCCAAGTATGATTCTGGAGAATAAAAAAATATTGTTTTTCTAACTGGAATTGAAAATGAAATTAACCATTCCAGCCGAAAAGAAAATGATAAGGGGGAGTCAATCCAACTTGATGTGATTTCTGCCTCAGATGCAGAATTCAGACCCCTCAGGTGAGCTATGGCATTTTCTGTTGATCATGTCATCTTGACCAGATTACAAACAACTTGGGACAGAAAAAAAAGCCAGATTTTTTTTGTTTGTTTCCTCACTTAGAAGTGTTTTGTTTTAAATTTCTCTCAATGACAATTAAAATAATTATTGACAGAAAAGCACTTTGTGAATGATGCTTTGGTTTTTCTTCCAGGAGATGATCGAAATATTGAAGAGATTTATGTGGGTGGAAAGCAGGTGGTTCCATTTTCCAGCTCAGTGTAAGACCCTTGGGCATCTATGAAGTTCTCCTGGGGCAACATGGTTCTCATCTCCCTTGTGCCCAGGCACAGTTCGAAAGTCAAAAATAGTACCATGTTCTTTGGATGGCTGTCTCTTTCTGTGTCTAGTTACAGTATTCACTTGGTAAATTGTTTGAAGGAAGTGCACTAATTTTCAACTCTAGTTGGGAGATTTCATAATTTCATGAAAATCTGTTTTTGAGTTGTTCAGATTTACTACAAGATTAAGCACATGGGAATGTTGTTTCTGGTGGAGTGCTTATTGTGAGATTGAAGTAAAATCTTTTTCACATAGGGAGATGTAGAAAGAAAAGATATTTCTATACAGTTAGACATTTTAAGTTAATAAGTGTGAAACTTAGGGAACCAAATATGAACCAGTAAGTATATTTTTATGAGGGAGCAGAAGTTAGACTGTGAACAATTGTTGGAAAATCACTTCAGATTGTTTTGTAAATTGTATACTGAGCATACTAATTTAAAATGAGAATTTACTAAATATAAAAGTGTGTTTCTAGATTGACCTTGTGTTTTGGAAATTTGCACTTAATCAGAGATGTGTTATTGTTATGCGTTGCCTTCTTTTGGGATGAATGTCAGAAATTGAATGCCACACTTTTTTTTAAAGTATAGTTCTGTGCTTTAAAGTGTTTGAAAGGAGTATTAAAGATTTAATGTCTCTTAGAAATATTACTCATGGTATAAATAGTTGTAATTTTGTGTACTTTAAAATTGTCTTAATTTATAACTGTGATGTTATAATTGCTTCCATTTTATTAGAAGAGAAACAATCCCAGTGACCATTGTGTATATTGCAGTCTTCATAAACTGTGGCAAATACTGGGTGTCGTATAAGTGCGGTTACTAACAGGACATGTTCCTTTGCAATGGCCTATTTTACACAACACTATGCCATAGTTGCTGGAAGTTTTGTACACACATATCAATCTGCTAGAACTTTAAAATGGGAGACAAATCCTATTAAAAATATTTAAAAATCTTTAAGCCCTGTATATTGAAAACATTCTATTCTCCAGTTTTATCCAATTATCTGTTTCATTCCTAAAAATTTTTCCAAACATTAGAACTTTAGGATAATGAAAAATGCATACATGTCCCTTTAATGTTTATATTAACAGGACTCAATCACTACTAGATATCTAAGAACATTAAACAGTTTACTGTTAAGGGGTATTCCATGCTTCCTAACTACTATAATGCCCTTTCTTATAACCAAGAGCTAAAACCAAATTATTACCTTATGATAACTATATAGTAAGCATTGAGATGAGTCTTATTTAAGTCTTATGTTTTTCTTAATTTATTCTAAATACTATAAATGAACAAGGACAGGGACTAGATTTCCTTAATATATCACAACATTCATTCCTAGGGTTTAGGTGTGACTCCTTAATTTAACCATATAGTGGAAAACTGTATATAATACAGTTAATTCCATATTTGCAGAATTAAGAGCACATTTCCTGTCCTGTACTGTAAATACAATTTTCACATATTCATGCTAATTCAGCAGTAATTTACTTAGTTTTTTTCCAGTAGAAACATTTTTAGATTTGATTCTATATACACTACATCTAAAGATTGAAAAATATTTGGTCTTAACTTTTTGAAAAAAACAATAGAACTTGTTTTGTGGGATATTAAACAACTGAGTAAATCCAGTTTCCATTCTAAGTCTGTACTTCCAGTATTTCTAATTCCTGAGCCATGTGAAAGATTATCTGCCAAACTTCTCCCCATTTCTCTATAGTGCTGGTAAATCTTTCTTGCTCTATCTTTTGACCCCTGCCAAAGGAACTTGGTTACAGAGTGTCTAACCCAAATGAGTAGGCGAGGAGCTTAGATGTGATGTGTAAGAGCCTCTACTAGCCAATAGCTGCTTCCAGCATTTTGCAAGATCCTACAATTTTACCTTCCTTAAGGGTATATATTTTGATGTTGAGCATCAGTTTTCATTTAGATTTAGGATTCACATGCAGTAATATAAATAAGTGTAGTATCAGAAGCAGGAATAATGGCCATATACCATCATTCTGTCAAACATTCATTTTAGTCCCAATAGTATGTTAATACCTGAATATTCTTTCTAGTAAAAATGGAGTAGTTCGTTGAAATGTTTTCATGTACTTTGATCTCTTTGCATCCCTTATGACATGTGTGTTTTATTTCTTCAAGTGCAGTGTTTCTGAATGTTACATAGGCTTTTTTCAGTACTACAGGCATCAGCCATACCTGGGGCCAAATGTTCTGCACTTTGAAATGTTGCCTTTGCCTAATGTGGGTTGACTTTCTGAATTGTAGAGAGGCACTATTCAAAGCCAATCCTATTTATCACTTTATGTTTGAGTGGTTTGCTCTCTGACAGGAAAGAAAGCATTAAAATCTTATCATCCCTTTTCCCAACCCACACCGTTTGCCTCATTTCCCTAGAATTTTCTATGGAAATCATTTTAAAAAGTAAAGTCATATTCAAAAGTCATATATGTCATATATTTGCAAAATATTATTGCAACCAGAACCATACATAGGCTAATCAGCCAAGGTAAATCAGATTTTCAAGAGAGGGAAACATGCGAAATAAGAGGATAGGACATAGAGGTCATCCTAGTCATCGCCTAGGACCTAGGAAATTCTACTCCTTTGTTTATTCTCCCAGCTGCTTCTCCAATTGAATTGTCAAAGATTTAGAATGCAAGAGGATCAAGCTCCCTTCATGCTCAAAAGGGGGTATTTCTAAGTTAATGTGTTGAGTATTGAATCCTATTAAAAAGAAATGGTAGGGAAGCTCTCCTTCATGGTTGGCTGACTTTGAAGTGTGCTCTTGAGTAGCCCTTCTGGCAATTCTATGAAATCTTACAGAGAAAACATAATCCTGTGAGATCTAGCAATGTGTTTTAAATCTTCACTCTATCAGACTCTTCCTGTTTTTAAGCTTTTCACCTCAGAACCAGACATATGGAATGCTTTAAAGGAAAGCTGGAAAGCACATTGTATCAATTCTACTTTGTGCTATACATGGAAGATACTCAGAACTGGATGCTTCTGGAGCTATTGAACATCAGTTCATTGTCCATTTTTTAAGTAAATGCTTCTGCTGGAAACATTGACATGTTTAAAAGGAGTGCCTTGAGTTATTAAAAGATGGACTTAGAAGTGTCTCATGGGCAATGACTTGAAATTACTTTTAAATTGTAGGGGCTAATGTGAATTTTAAAGGTATTTTCATTTGTGTTTAAGATTTAAAAGAGATGTGTACAATTTCAAATCTACTAGCTACTTTAGGCATGACTTTGGATCTCCCACTTTGTAATGTCTCTAAAAATTAAAGGCATTAAAGAAGTGTATGAAAACCAAAAAGAAGTACACAGATGGAAAGACACTGTTAGAAAAACTTGGCACTGATCACCATGCACATTTTCACATCCAGGTTCACTTTCCTTCCCCTCCAACAGACTTAGGGCATAAGAGATGGGGAATTGAGGCATTAGTCTGAGAATCTAGTCTAAATTTAATGAAATGAAAAAGTCAGAAAGGCCAATGATGAAATTAAATGTAAATGCTCAGAGGGCTTTTACAGTCCACAGAGTTCAAGTGACTTAGGTAACAAACATCATCTTAGCTCATCTGTTACGTGGCAGGGATTTACCTGTCCATTTCCCACTCAAAAGTCTGTCAGAAAGCATTCTTTAATGAAAACCACCTTATGTGGTTAAAATCCTGATTGCTGCTCTTAAGAATATATATATATGCATATGTACTCATGGGACGTTTTCCATCAGTATTTGTATGATGTGCTTATTGTTATTATGCTGAATGAGCTCCTTTGTGCTTTAGAAAAAAATAAATGACATTTTGTGTTTCTGTTACTTTCATTTTGAGTTTTCTCAGTTCAATTTGTTGTGACTTCCTCTCAGTCTGAGAGGAGAATGAATTTTATAATGCTTCCCTTTTTTTAGCATGGATTTGAAAAAATTAACAAAAAACAGAGTAGACTAGAATATTTATCTGTGGGCCAACATGTATCTTCCATCCTGTGATAGTCATTAGATACAGCTTTTTAAAATTAAGCTATAGTATTTATCCCTTTAGGATCAGGTTGCTATTGCTTTAGATATCAGCATAGTTTATTTCATATTTTTAAAGCTACAACCCAACTAGGAATGCCTCTTACATCAAGTATTAGTTCATTGGTATAGAGCAAATGCAGTTCTAAGTGGGAAGTTTACAGTTATAAGTACTTACATTTAAAAAAATTACAGAGATCCTAAATAACTTAATGGTGTATCTCAAGGTCTTAGAAAAATAAGAACAACCCAAAACCAAAACAAGTAGAGGGAAAGAAGTAACAGATCAGTGCTGAAATTAATGAAATGGAGACTAAAAAATAATACAAAGGATCAATGAAACAAGCTGGTTCTTCAAAAAGATAAACAAGATTGAGCAACCCTTAGCCAAACTAGCCAGAAAAAGGGGAAAAGACCCAAATTTAAAAAATTAGAGGTGAAAAAAGAGATATTAGAACTAAAACCACTGAAATCTAAAGAATCATTAGGAATTATTTTGAAAACTTATAATAAATTGGAAAATTTAGAACAGACAAATTTCTAGACACATATGACCTACCAAAATTGAACCAAGAAGAGATAAAAAAAAAAAACCTAAACAGAACAATAACTAACAATGAGATTGAGGCAGTCATAAAAAAGTCTCCAATCAAATAAAAATTTAGGACTAGTTGGGATTAACTGTGGAATTTTACCAGACCTTTAAAGAACACCAGTGATCCTCAAACTATGCTATAAATTAGAAGGAGAAGGAAACTTCTGAACTCATTCTATGAAGCCTTTATTAGCCTGATACCAAATACCGAAACCAGGTAAGCACACAACATAAAAAGAAAGCATATCCCTATCCTTAATGCAAAAATCCTCAATATAATTGAGTTCAACTGCACATTTAAAAAGATCACACCAAGATCAAGTTGGTTTCATTCCAGGGATACAAGGACGGTTCAACATATGCAAATCAGTAAGCGTAATTTAGCACATAACAGAATCAAGGATAAAAATCATGTGATCATCTTAGTAGATCAGAAAAAGCATTTGGCAAAATTCAGCATGCCTTCATGATAAAAAGCCCTTAAGAAACTAGGAATAGAATTATATCTCAACATAATAAAGCCTATATTCATCAACCTTATAGCTAACATTATACTGAATAGGGAAAAACAAAGTATTTCCTCTGAAATTAGGAATGAGATAAGGGTATCCATTCTCATCTCTCTCATTCAATATAGTGCTTGAAATCTTAAGCAGAGCTATAAGAAAAGAGAAGTAACAGGGACACAAGCAGGAAAGGAAGAAGTCAGACTATCCCTATTCACACATAATATGACCCTATATTTAAAAGACCCTAAAGACTTCACCAGAAGCTCTTAGATTTGCTAAACACTTTCAGAAAACTACCAAGATACAAAATCAACTTATGGGTATCAGTAGCTTTTCAATATACTAGTAATGAAAATACTGAGAAATCAGGAAAATAATCCCATTCATATTACTTTAAAAAATACCCATAAATAGACATAACCAAGTAGGTGAAAGATGTCTACAATGATAACTATAAAACACTAAGGAAAGAAATTGAAGAAGACACTAGAAGATGGAAAGACTCCCCGTGTTCATAGACCAGTAGAATTAAGATTGTGAAAATGGCCATATTACATCTACTGACTCAATGCAATTCTCATGAAAATTCTTCTAGTGACATTCTTCACAGAAATAAAAAAGTACCCAAAAATTCATATGAAAGTACAAAAGATCCCAAACAGCCAAAGCAATCTTGGACAAAAAGAGTTAAGTTACAGGTATCATAATCCCTGATTTTAAATTATACTACAGAGACATAGTAACAAAACGGCATAATAATCACACAAAAACGGACATGTTGACTAACAGAATAGACTAGAAGACCCAGAAATAAATGCGTACAACTACAGCCATGTAATTCTCAACAAAGAGGCCAATGCACATATTGGAACAAAAGGTAGCCTCTTTACAAATGGTGCTGGGGAAGCTGTATATCCACACACA